AGCACACACGTGTTCACGCACACACCCCATTCATGTTAGCGCCGTGGGCGCGGGGCATAAAAACAGGACGCTGTGTTGTGGAGTGCAAAAACGGGCTGCCGCCATGCCGCAGGGTGCAAAAATGGGATACTGTCGTGCCTCAGGGTGCAGAAATGGGGTGCTGCCGCACTGCAGGGTGCAAAAACAGGTGCCACCACGCTGTGGGAGGCAAAAATGGATGCTGCCGTGCTGTGGGGTGTGGAAATGGGGCACTGCGCAGTGCAAGAATGGGGCAGGGCTAGTGAGTATCATGTGGGCGCTAGCCCTGCCCCATTTGCATCACGCGCACGTGTAAAATGCTTCCCCCTCCCTTTCCCTCCGGTCCGCCAACCGAGAAAGGTTGGTGACCTCAGTTCTAGACTGATGCCGTAGCCACTATATCAAACTGGCTCTCTAGCCTTACCTTAAATCAACATAATTTGTGAAGCATAATCACAAGTTATCCAAATAATATAGTAATTTCACCAAACTAATATAGGTTGAGAATAATAATATATGAGTCCTAATTAGACTTTTAGATTCTTAAAAATTCACCAACATATTTAGGATAATTATTTATTGAGGTATTAATGCCTTTGTTTGCAAAATACGATCGTAAGGTGGCTTGTTTAGCTTTTTGCTTACTGCAATGTGTGAACCCACTGTGGATTAAGAACCATAGTGGATGATACTTTCCCAATCTGACACCCTCCAGATGTATTAGAGGGCAAGTCTCATCAGCCAGCAGAGCAGATATCTTGGTTGTTGAGAGTTTTAATTCAATACTCTTGGAGGACACCAAGATAGTGAAGGCTTGCTTATGATTTAATGTGCTATGTGAATCTACTCAATTATAGTTTAGTTGACAAACCATGATTAAACAATGAGAATCGTATATCTAGTCAGTGTTTTAAATGGTATCAATTCCCTTGGTCTCACTCCATGAGAGAATGGGCCATACTTTCCACTATTTATGTCTGTCCCACTGAACTAGTGTCATTGATGGGACTGCCACAACTACAGATTTTCAAGTTCACACAAATCCAAATTCATTGACACAGGTTTGCTTTTAGTCAGAGTGGATTAACAGTGTCCTAGCTGTTATTTGCCTTGGTGTGACTACCTGTGTTAGAATGTTTTATGCCTTGCCAAAATACACATAAAACAAACTGTACTAATGTACTAATATTTGGAATCCAGTTGTGTAAGAGATTTTTTTAAATTGCAGTATTATAACTTTTTTCAAGATTGAGAGTATGCATTTTGGAAGAACTGCAGAAACTGTTGGCAACAAGAATTCATTTTCTAAGTCAGTAACAATTATAGGGATCTGTAAGAAAGCAAGGGGATGTAAACGATGAAATGTATGTTGTTATATTGCAGGACAAACCATGTTACTTGACACAATGTTCAACTTCAAGTATGAATGTCTGGGGTTTACATCATCCAACATATATAGCATTTATAATTTTGCAATTAATTTCTATACTAGGAGCAAGAAGCAATATCCATGGGCTGGCAGCGGGGGAGGAGGATAAACTGGCAACTGCAGTGCTACTTTCATCACAGCTGTGGAGTCCTAATGCAATCCATGCTCTCTTTTTTTTTAAGTGCATTGCAGCGTTGAACACACCGAAGCAGGAGAGCTTTCAGAGCTACACTAATTTCTCATTCTGATGAAAGAGGCAAGATACTGTAGAAATCACTAGAAACACAAAATTTCATTTGATTACTGAACTCATTCTGCAAATATTAGTAGTCATTCCAAAGGGAACTAACTCTTAATTTGTTTATTTACTGAATTTCTACTGCACTACTTTGTTTCTTCAACAGTCAAGGAGGCCAGCAGTGATAAAAAATGTAACTAAAGCAAGCTTTAAACCATTAAAATAAGGATTAAAATTAAAAATTACAGTGCAAACACATGGAGGAATATATGCATTTTTATCAACATCATCGTAAATATTAAAGAGTATTGATCCAAGGGCATCTCCTCTAGGGAGTGCATTTCACAGCCTAGAAGCTATACAGTTAAAGTCAAGCTTCTGGGGGGTGAAGGATCCTCAAAATGCCCACTCCTGAGGATCTAAATCAGTAATTGTCAGATATTTGGCCTCAAGACTTATTTACATTCTCAAAATAATTGAGGACCCTAAAGAGCTTTGGTTTTACATGCACTATATCTAACATATTGACTTACTAGAAATTAAAACTAAGAAATTTTAAAATGTGTATTTAGTTGACTTTGCAGACCTTGTGAAAATGTCTCAAGGACCCCCAGGGATCACAAAACCACACTTTGGGAACTGCTACTCTCAATAGAAAGGTTCAGAGTAGAAAAGGTAAATCCTTTAAGAGTTAGATTTGGGGCTCAAGCTTTAAAGATCAATATTAGTATCTTTATTTTGCCCAGAAGGCAACCAATAGGTCAGGGATCTTCAAACGTGGCCCTTTTATGACTTGTGGACTTCAACTCCCAGAATTCCTCAACCAGTGTGCATGCTGGCTGAGGAATTCTGGGAATTGAACTCCACAAGTCATAAAAGGGCCAAGTTTGAAGACCCCTGCAGTAGGTGGTCCAGGCATTATGTGATCCCTGCACTTTGTAAATGTAAATTAGGATCCGTATTTCACAATTGTGTATTTAATTTTAATTGTTCAAACTGTTCTGTGAATAACGTCCTTATGGAACTTTTATTACACAGGTACACCAACCTCCTCTCCAGAAAGTGAGTCATTTATGCCAAGGTTCAAAAGATTGCTTAGAGACTTCTCCATCTCCTGATTTTCTGCCATCTAGATGCATAGTTGATCACATATTAACCAGGAACTTATAAAGTAGGAGGTTGTTTCTTTATTCTTATTGGAGCTTTAATGGAAATAAGCCTTTTCCCCACTCCCACCTAAATATAACCATGAAAATGTCCTGGCAATGGTTTTTTTTTTTTTTGCCGAGTCCTGATGACATTGCCTTTAATGTCCTCAGATCATGACTTAAATCATCATTAACTACTGTGCAATATTTTCTCACTTATTCCGGCACTGCCAAGATCATTTGCTAGCTATTTGACTTTGACATCCAGTTAGACTGACTTAGTGTTCTTCAATCCTGGAAAACTTTAAGATGTGTGTTCCTGGGGAATTCTGGGCGTTGAAGTCCACACATCTTAAAGTTGCCAAAGTTGAAAAGCATTGCCTTAGAGCACGGGTGTCAAACTCGATTGTGTCATGTGACATATTATGATGTATCACCATGTTTTTTGCCTTTGCAGAGCTGGGGTGGGCATGGCCTGTGTGTGATGTATCCAGCCCGCGGGCTGCCAGTTTGACACCCCTGCCTTAGAGGGACACCACATAACTATAGTAATTAGGAACAACAGCAGAAGAGGGATTGCAATAGGGGTAGTAAATTTCTCAACATGATTTTCTGCTAACCAAGGAGAGAGATGGAGAACAGCTCATCAGTGGGGAAACATCTACAGAGTCAGAGTAAAAAGCAGCTCTTTTGTTTTGGAAAAGAGGAAAATAAAAAAAAATCCCTAGGTTCCTACTATATAACTAATACATACAGTAGATGGGAATGGCCAGGTATTGCTAAGCTACAGCTCCCAACATCGCTGGCATAAACAGACATGGACAAATGTGTTGTTACTGAACAGTATTAGGGAATGAATTGTAAACCAAGGAGATGAACGCTTTGTTGAAAACAGTAAGTCTCCTGTGTCTTTAAATGTTACATAACAGGAGTTGAACCTGCCTCTTTCCCCACCACCCAAGTCCTTGCTAGACAAAATCTTATTGATTTCCCAATTCTCTGCTAAGCAGCTTAAAGAACGGAAACTTCTTAGAACAAAGAGTTCCCAAAGGTGGAGCAAAGCTTTCATAATAACTCCCCACCACCACCAATCTGGGGACAAGGGGCAATGTGACCTCCTGTCTACAGATTTCAATTTTGGATACACCCTGCGATCTGAAAGTCCTTATCTTAATTGAAAGTAAATAGTTAAACGGAACTGTTTTCCTGCTCCAAGTAGGTGATTAGTAGATTACTGCCATTAATAGTGATAACTCGTTATTAAAGCAATGGTGATAGCAGAATTCATTATTATAGTAAATGCACTGTTCTCTAAAGCAACTTTGTAGCAGATAACACCCAACAGCAAATGGCCTGTGCCGTTTGTGTTACATTTGCACTCCTGACGCTTTAAAAGTAAATCTTACTGTTCGATGAGGCTTACTCTCTAGTCTAGAAAGGGTACCTAGGAGGGTATATATTTCAAACTTCCCATTGTGTTTGAAGGAGATTGCTTACATAAAGGAAAGGGGGAGGAGAGTACCGTAGCCTTGGTTCGCCATTACACTGCAGAAGTGACAGAAATCACAATTTTTTGGCAGGGTTTTTTTTTTTTTTCCATTTCCTGAACTCTTTCTTACTTGAAGGAAAGGGTTAGTTTAGGGCCGTGTTTCTCAACCTAACGAACTTTTAAGAGGCCAGGGACCTCTGGGGATTAAAACCCGCACACCTTAAAAAGTTCACGTGGTTGAGAAACGCTGCTCTATGTGTAACATCATATTGCAGGAGGAGGAGGCTTAATTGAGGCCCGCTTAAGCAGACGGCAGCATCTCCCCTTGCAAAGTTTGTCTCGTGGAGGCATCTTTCCCCTCCTCCGCCTTCAATCTCCAAGGAGCCCCAAGCAAGCGCAAGCAGGTGTTGAGGGGGTCTCCTTCCTCCTTCGCCATCCGCCTCCCGGAGGCGCGCGCGCCGGGAGGGGCGGCGACGCTCGTCCACCCCGGCTCCGAAGAGGGCGGGTCCTCGAAGACGGGCGAAGAGGAAGAGCCGCGCCGCTCTCTTCCTCGAGGGCGGACCCCACCGCCGGGCCGCCGCCGCCGCTGTCGTCGTCGTCGAGGGAGCGGACGTGAAGGACGAGACGGGCGTCACGGAGGACGTCGTGGGCGCCATCAACAGGCGCCAGCGCCTCTAGCTCCTCTTTCTGGTTGTCTTGAGCTCGGCTGCCCACAGCAGCCACAGCTCCGCTCGCTACTCCTCGGCGAGAGTCACTCCCCGCCGCTCCTAGTGCGAGAGGGCGGGGAGGGTTTGAAAGGCGCCCGCCGGGAGACGAAAGCCAGGGCTACTTCCTCCTGGCCTTCGCCCCACGGAGAGGGAAGGGTGACCGGCCAACCTGCCTAAGAGCAAGGAGGGCCTCGGAGCTGGAGGAAGGGAGGCGTGGAAGGTAAGCGATTCTCGTTGTACCCGGTCCCCTTGTCTGCCCCCCCCGGACGCCGCGTCTTTCTGTGCTCCCCCGTTTCCCCCCCCCTCCAGCTTCTTGGTATTGCCCTCTGAAGTCTCGCCGTCCATTCATCCCTGTTCCTCCTCTCTCTGCCCTTTTTGAGCGCTGGTCGGTCTGTCCTTTTGGCCGCTTGCTCCTGAGGGAATGCTCTTTATTTCCCTTTGGATGAAGGCATCGGGGTTGGGTGAGTCCTTGGAGGACAAAGTGCTGCGGAAGGAAAAAAAAATCTGTCTGGTTGCAATTCTTCACGGGGGTCAGAATTAAGCGGGGCCACCTTCTTGCCCTTATTTCGAAAAAGCACCCGCAGAAGAGTAAGGTGGTTATTTAGTCTTCTTGCTTTACCTATCTGCAGCTTTTCCCTCCAGGTCTGGGCTTTGACCTATACAGGAGTATTTTTGATTTTTTTTAATTTATTTTTTTGCAATAATGAGTGATAGGAAAAGTACCTTTGCGGATTTTCTCCTATACTCTGCTTTGAAATCTGTTCAAAGCAGGGAAGTTGAAATCAATACTGAGCAACATGATGGCTTAAGATAATTTGGCTCAGATACTTGCCTTGAATAAGTAAGCCGAAACTTAACTTGAGGGTGGATTTTTTTTTTTTTTTTGACTGGTTGGAAGAAATGTACAGTAACTTGTGATGGTTAGGAAATTAAACATGCTCTGCTCTGGTTAATATGGAAAGAGATCAATGCTGATGATAATGCTGATGATAATGCTCTGGAAGTTATGTTGAAACAGTCTGATGCTACTTACATTGAACACCCAAACTCCTTCCCACAAATCAGAATAATCCGTCTTAATTTTGGTGAGCGTTTGTTTAGGTTTGAAATATTTGCTGCCCGTTAATCCAGACCCATATAAGCTTAAAGTAATTTGAGTTTGAATAGACTGGTGAAAGCAATTTGATAAAAAAGATGTTATCTTAATTCAAAAAAATTGCTTTGTTTGATGATCTGCATTGTTATGAAAGTTATTCTTATATGTTTTTGGGCTAATGAAGATATTAAAAATATTGTAGATTACTAGTTGTTAAAAATGAGTGCTTCATCAAATAGATTTGTGATACATTTGATTTACTCTCAGGGAATTACACTGTGAATGCAATATTCAATATGGGGGTAACTGTTCTGCACAAAAGTTGAACTTTTAATTTATCAACTGAATCATATAATACTTTGCCAATAGGAAAATTCAACTGTATTCATTTTATTTTTTTAAAAAAACTTGCAAAGATTTAACAATTAGTCACATGAACTAATAAAATGAATTAGGATGTGTGTTTATACTGAACAAGCTAAAAATCTTAAGGCAAAAACTTGAGTTAATTAAAAAATAAACCTGTGATAAAAACTTGAGCCAAAAAATTGACTATACATATATAACTGAAGTACAAGTATTTTAAATATATATTTCAATATTTCTATTTGGGTTTGAGCATTATCATAAAAGTTGGTAAAATGTACCAATTTGTTTGCAAACCTAAATATTATTTAAAAGAATTACAATTTGTATAAATCATTGTAGTGAAGTGTAATGCAGTTTATGGATTATTTTCATGATTAATTCTTGATGAGCACTGAAATCTAAGAGGAATTGATGACACAAAGCATTTTAATATGATTCATCAAGTTCTAATTAGAAATCACTTTCAAAAGAATTGGTGGGCTTACTATAAGAATTTTATATAATATGGTTGACATATACATGTTATAAAGATAGGTTTCTATGTCAGCAGAATACATAACATTCCCAGTATTCATTCTTGAACACATAATATATCCAGTACACATTTGCTCCTCTTGGACAAAATCCACAACTACCAGTTAGGCATGGCACTAGTGACATGAAGAGTCTGATGATCCTTCTTTTATTGGAGTGATAAAAAGTTTGGTCCCTTTTTTTTAAAAAAAAGGGAAAGGGGAATCTATGAAAAAAAGTCTGAAAAAAGGTTGGATTTTAATATCACCTCCAAAAGCTTCTGATGAACAGCTGGAATCTCCAAGGGAAGTCCATATATTGAACTAGAGAGAACATATGATTCATAACAATAAAGAAGTAAGGTCACAGCTATCAACATGAAAAATATCTGCCAGACTGTCCTACCCCCTTTATATAGATGATCTGAATGTGTATGGGAAAACACCATCTGAAACGGAATCGTTGCTCAGAGCTCTCTGTATGTATAAGCCAAGACATTATAGTGAATTTTGGGCTGGACAAAAGGACATCCTCGCCATCAACAGAGGTAAAATTGTGAAAACTGAAGGAATGAAGATACCCTATGAAAATAACTCAAGAATCTGGATGAAGGCCACTACAATACCTGACCATCCCTCAAGCTGAAAACATCTAGCACACTGAAGTCAAGAAGAAGGCTAGAAGTGAATACATCATGAGAGTGAAGAAAATCTTCAAATTCAGTGAACAAATACTATCAAGGCATCTAATACCTGTGCAATTCTAGCAGGAAAAGGGGTAACAATGTCTAAGAGGGAAGTTGAAGAAAGAGACAGAGAGCCCAATTTTGGCAGCACAAAACTAGGCATTAAGAACAAATGCATATAAAGCCAGAATTAAGAAGACAGTAACAGATAGCAAATGCTATCTTTGCAAAGAAGTTGTAGAAACAGTGGACCACTTATTTAGTGATGCAGGAAGATTCCACAGACTGATTACAAACAACATCAGGACACAGTAGCAAGAATAGTGTATTGGAATATCTTCAAGAAATACCATTTTATTACAAACAAGAATTGGTGGAACCACAAAATGTACAAAGTAATAGAAAACAAAGAAGCTAAAGTGCTCTGGGACTTTAGAATTCTAACAGAGAAGCATCTGCCACATAACACTCCAGACTTAAAACTTTTGATAAGAAAGAAAAAAAGTATCTTTATAGTGGATGCTGCAATACGTATAGACAGTAGAAGAGAAGAGAAAGAACCACAGAAAATTACAAAACACAAAGATGTGCAAATAGAACTAGAATGATTGTGGCAAAAGAAAGCAAAGGAAGTGCCAATAATAATAAGTACCTTGGGCATAATTCTAATCTAAAACATCTGGAGCACCACTGGCATTGACAAAATTGTGATCAATCAGTTGCATAAGGAAGCTTTTCTTGGAATAGCTTACATCCTGTGACAGTCTAGGTAATCTTTATTTAAGGACCACTCATTTAGCAACTATTTGAAATTATGCTGCTGAATGAAGGAAAGTTATAAACTGTTCAGCGTCCTTGCAGTCACATGATAAAAACTTGGGTGGCCACACTTATAGCTGCTGGGGATGCTGCAACTCTCATTGCCTATTTTTTCCTGGTATCAGCAGGGAAAACAACACCTGGTTGCAATTCTGGACCTGGACCTAAAATAGAGGCCCGGGGCCTTCAACAATCTCAGCCAGTTTCCACCACCCCAGGCCTCAATGTCAGCCCTAGCACTGCTGCTTCCACTCAGAAATGACACCTTGCACCATTCTTCAATACACGTGAGCCCGGGGATCTGCACAATTGCCGCCCCTCACTCAGTGGTTCCGAGGATGCTGCTTATCTTCTGGCATTTTCCTCCTGCATTTGAGAGGTCCATATGACCTATCTGACGCAGCTTCCTGTCACACCAGGCCTTCTTTCCTGAAATCATGAAAGCCTTCAAAGGCCTTTGAAGTGTCAGGCCATGTAGGCCTCTCAATAGGAGAAAAATGCCTGAAGCTCTGGGTGAAACAAGCAATACGTGATTTCCTACAGTTTCCTTTGGAGAATTGTTTATGAAAGTTGGTGACAAATGCTGGGCTGTTGTAGATCCAACTGAGAAACTGGAATATAAAATCATATGTTTAGTCTTTTCCTATTGTTACTGCATTTGAGATTAATATAAACAGAATTGTAAATGAAGCTCTTGAAAAATGTATGTTAAGATGCATATGTTCTTGGTTGTATCCCCAGTATGAAGATTTTAAGATCATCTATACCAGCGGTTCTCAACCTATGGGTCGTGACCCCATTTGGGGTCGATCGACCATTTCACGGGGGTCGCCAAACAAGGCTGTCCGCCATTTTTCCCCCATTTCCGGCGGGTGCCTTACCTCCCTTGAGCTGGGCCAGCTCGTGGTTGGCCTGCTCCGTCTCTGCCGCTTGCCAGCTACGCCTCAGCCGGCGCAGGGGGTGGAACCACGCAAGCATGGCGCTCCCGGGCAGGGAAAGTCCTCGACTTACGACCGGTTGGGTAGTCCTCGACTTACGACCGGTTTAGTCCTCGACTTACGACCGGTTGGGGGTCGCGGCATTAAAAAGGTTGAGAACCACTGATCTATACAATCCATGACCCCTTTGGTTATTGTTTCAGAGATATTTCCTTACCAAATTCATCAATGCCTTCAACAATGGCAGAGCTTCTAATGTACTGGAAAAGTTCTTAAGAATCCAGGGAGATATTTGGAAATGTGAATGTGTGATGCATCATTTCACTCATTTAAAGGTGGAAGACACAAGAATTGTAGTAGTATATGCATAAGTGTTCCTGTGATGAAAAAAAATGTGTTGACACATTTGTGATGATGTCACAATGCAAACTTTGACCTGTATTTACTTTCTAATTCAAGTATATAAATTATTGACTTTGTGTTAATTTATCATGGTTGTATGTATATTTTGTGAAATACTTTAATGTTAACACAATGTTTGGTTCTGCCAGTTTTTTAGAATTTTTAACTTAGGTCTTAATTTTTACACTTGTCTTAATAATAATATTAATATTGTAAGTAATATTATTGATAGATTAGCAAAAAGAAAAAGACAGATATGGCTTGTATGTATAGAATATTTTATTTATAAATGCATTGGCTGCTACATAGTTATAGTTATACCAAGAGAAGAGAATATTTGTAGCTCAGAATTGAACTGAGGGGCCCTTGTTGCTCTATGACCTTGGTTGTTTTCTTGGAGATGTTTTATTACTGAACTAGGTAACATCATCAGTGCTAGTAGAGAAGGGGGTTTGCTCTCATATTATATACTAGTAGTTTGCACTATCGGTGTTGATGGGAGAGGTCTTGGTAGTTGCTTGATTGGGCTATTGTTTACGGTTAGCTTGTTGGTCTGAGTTAGTATTTTCTTGATTGGGATATTGTTTGCTTCCTGACTGTTGGTTTAGTGTTGATCTTGGTGTTAATGTCGGCTCATCTGGGTGTTTTGGTCTTTTGTTTCCTTTTTGGCTTTTTTATTGTCTCTTTTTAATGGTATATAGATGCTGCATATCTCTATGTGCCCATTGATGGCTGATTTGTCTGAGTGCCACGGCTCCTAGGAATTCTCTTGGGTTTTTGGACTTGGTTTGGTCTAGGACAGTGGTTCTCAACCTTTTTAATGCCGTGACCCCCAACCGGTCGTAAGTCGAGGACTAAATCGTTGTAAGTCGAGGACTAAACCGGTCGTAAGTCGAGGACTACCCAACCGGTCGTAAGTCGAGGACTTTCCCTGCCCGGGAGCGCCACGCATGCATAGTTCCGCCCCCTGCGCCGGCCGAGGCATAGCTGGCAAGCGGCAGAGACGGAGCAGGCCGACCACCAGCTGGCCCAGCCCAAGGGAGGTAAGGCACCCACCGGAAAAGGGGAAAAAATGGCGGACAAAAAAAATGGCGGACAGCCTTGCTTGGCGACCCCCGTGAAATGGTTGATCGACCCCAAATGGGGTTGCGACTCATAGGTTGAGAACTGCTGGTCTAGGATGTTCACAGTTTCCCAATTGAAACTATGGTTAAGTCTGTCCATGTGTTGTGAAAGGAGTTTTCATCATGTCTTTTGACTACTAGCTGGTGTTCATGGATGCACTCTCTTAGTCTTCTTCCTGTTTGTCCTACATAGTGGCTGTTTTAGTTGTTACATTATATGTTATAGATGATTCCAGAGTTTTTTTCTGGACTGCTAGGTTTTTTGGTTTACTTAGGAGGTTTTGGAGGGTTTTAGTCAGTGTGTGTGCTACAGTGATGCCATATTGTTGTAATAGTCTAATAGTCTATTGGTGGTTTCTGATATGTTTTTGATGTATAGCAATATTATCCTTATCACAGCTTGTGTTGGTTGTGCTGTATTGGGTTGAGTGGTCAGGCACTTTTTGATAAAGTTGTGTGGGTATTCATTTTGTTGGAAGGTGTTGTATACATGATCTATTTCCTTTTTCTGTTGTTCAGGGTTGCTGCGGTGTGTTTGTGTTCCTCTAAATAACATTTTTACACAGCTTCTCTTGTGAGAGGTTGGATTGTTACTTTGGTAGTGGAACAGTTGGTTGGTGTGGGTAGTTTTATGAAGACCCATCTTTCGAATTTGCCATCACTGCCTCTGCTGATGAGGATATCCAGGAAGAAGGATAGTGTGTTGTTATTTTTTTCTTAGCTTGTGAATTTTATTCCTTTGAAGATGTTGGTGGTTTCATGTGTGTTCTCTAGTTGGTTCTTTTTTATTATGATAAAGATGTCATCTATGTACTGTATCCATACTTTGGGTTGTATAATTTCAGGTGTTGCATTGATAAAGATAAAGAGCTCTCTCACACATAAAAACCTTTATAGAGTATTGTCAGGAAATACCAAGATAATTTGGTTTATTCCCAATTTACAATATGACATTGTCATTCTTGACAAAATCTCTTTTCTTTGGAAGAGAAAGGATAGAGGTTCATGAGTAGGAGATAATTCCATTTCAAGCATTGTATCTCATCTTGGTGTAATAAACTCCTGATATCCATCCTGAGCACAAACTCCTGCAAATCACAGTGTAACTAAGAATCTTCTCTTGACAAAAGGGATACAAAACATACATTCCTTTCTCACAAGAAAGAACCTAACTTCAAAGGAATCTTCTAATCCCATTGAAGAAAGTGCTAACTAATTAGAAAACAAGAAGCAATGGATGGAAACCAATCAGGGAGAGAAGCAGCCTAGAACTAAGCAGAAATTTCCTGACAGTTAGAACAATTAATCAGTGTACATCTTGCCTCCAGAAGTTGTGAATGCTCCAACACTGGAAGTTTTTAAGAAGAGATTGGACAACCATTTGTCTGAAATGGTATAGGGTTTCCTGCCTGAACAGGGGTTGGATTAGAAGACCTCCAAGGACCCTTATAACTCTATTATTTTGTTTTTAAATAAATCATGCAGAATCTCATCCATTTCATAAAATACAGCAGGATGGCTTTTCTGTTTTAAAGATCAACAGTTTTTCAAGCATCTGTCCAACTATAGAGTTCTTTTCTTTTGCAAGAAATGGACTCTAATATGAACTAATGTGGACTTGGTTATTTATCACATCAACTGATGCAAAGCATTTCAGATCAAGGCATGTGGGCACCTTAAAGACAGAATAGCACTTCTGACTACCACAGGATTGGAATAAAATTGTTATCCTTTCTACTCTTGGAACACTTGGAAGTAACTTTCTTGCTATATTTCAAAGAGATGGAAATTATGTTTAATATTAATATTTATGCTCTTGGCTTAGAATGCAGGTACAGATCAGAGCCCTCTGCAAGAGCATCAGTTAATGTAGTCTTCTGCACTGAAGCCCATCCAGGACCCTCAGTTTTATTAGTTTCAGAAGAATCTAAATGCTAGGATGGAGCTTAACGAGGGCCCTTTTGAGAAGCTCAGCAGAGCTCTGAGGAAGAAATATTACCAAGAGCTACAAAGAATCTGATGTAACTTGGCTGGTCTCTGCATCAAATAATTTGTTCTGCTTTGGACTTGTGCATATTAAATAACTTACTTGCCTGGAACTATCTGGCTGAATGTACCTTTGGAGGAATGGTAGAAAGCCCACTGTTGACTATTGGCTGACTTCCTGTAATATGACTCACTACAACCATTTCCCAAGTCATTCAGTAAAACATTAGCCAGACCAATTGAATTATCCCCAGTTAAAGAACTATTGTACTGGAGTATGTGTCCAGAGGAATGATAAGAGTTGAATCACCTCTGAGTCCCACTTAGAATATTGGAACAGCTGATGACACTACTGAAATCTGATCTGGGAAAAACATAAATAAGTTAATACAGGCCCTATATTGATTATGTTGTTTTAACATGAGTGCCTGAAAACAAAAAGGCAAGGAGCCGTGGTGGCGCAGTGGTTAGAATGCAGTATTACAGGCTAATTCTGCTGACTGCCAGGGGTTCGATCCTCACAGGTTCAAGGTTGACTCAACCTTCCATCCCTCCGAGGTTGGTAAAATGAGGACCCAGATTGTGGGGGTGATATATTGACTCTGTAAATGGCTTAGAGTTGGCTTTAATTCACTGTGAAGTGGTATTTAAGTCTAAGTGCTATTGTCATTGCTATTCAAGGGGTTGCTTAGATTATAAATAAAAGATTATAATAACACACCAGGTGGCCCTGGTTAATGTCAAACAAATATATAAATCTTATAGTGGAAGAACATAAAAATCAGATTAAAACTTGGCAGATGTTAATTCAATGTGTGAGTAATTGCCAAGTCTCACTTTTTTTGGCATTAAGCATAATGTTCCCTAAGACCAGGTATTGGGGTAGGAGAACATTATAGAACTACATTATATGCAGATATGTTACATAGCTTTACAATGCAGCTAATGAAGTTTGAAACATGGCTCCCAGTTTTGTTATCGGGAAGAGTAAATCTCATAATATCAAATCCTATACAGAGCTCAAACTGGGACCTTTTGGTTGGTTCCTTCTTAGCCTGGGTTATTAAAAGGCCAGACATCTACTTAGTCAAAGGGTATGGAGTAGCAACTGGAGGACAATAGGACACCATATAACAGCAAAGCCAAGTTTTTAAGGGTACTTTGAGAACCAACCAAATATTTCTCATTTCTCACATTCCCTAGGTTGAGAAAGGACTTGAGAAAAGTGCTTGAGGTTGAGAAAAACTGTCAAAGAAGCCACCAGTAAGCAGTCCAACCAAAGAATCTCTAAGATCACCTCCACCAACATTTACAAGGCAAACCATTAGAATATAAATTGACAAAAAACCCACACCCCTTGCTAGCACTAATGATGTTACCTTGTTTGGGTAATGAAACCTCTACAAGAAAACAAGGAAGCTCAGAGAACATCCAGGACCCCTCAGAAAGGACTTTGAGCATAACATAGTGCATTATCATCGGCGCTTCTTCTGGGCAGATATTCCAAAATCCTCTAATCCAAATGAATTTGTGGTTTGGAGAAATTGAAATCCTTCTCCACGTACTCCTGCATTGCAATTTATACAAGAGCAAATGGAATTCTTTTATTTTTTCTTTTCTGTGATGGTATTCTGGACAAACATATTTATTACAGAAAGCTCCACTTTCTGACTCTGTTTGCTTTGCAATATTATGATTAAATTCTATGTTGCTGCAGTTAAAATGTGTCATAAAACACTGAATCCTGATTATTGTGCTTTTATATGTTTCTATATTTTTCCCCATGGAGATATATATATATATATACGTGCTAATTCTGAGCAGATACTGTTACTGGCAAGTTTTTTGATTGCTTGGAAATGTTCATTAATCAGCAAAGGTAAATATAAATATTTCTCTTTTTAAACCAACAGAACACTGTAACTTTAAGATGGTCGGGCTAGGAAACAGTCGTCGTGGGATAAAATCACCACCTCTTTTAGTAGCAGCACTTGTGGCTTGTATAATTGTTCTGGGATTTAATTACTGGATAGCAAGTTCCCGTAGTGTTGATTTGCAGGTATTGCTCTTTTGTTGGTTTTTCAAAATGAATGAATCAGTGTGTATGCTTTAATATTTTAAAATATTGGTTTTTATCTCAACATTACAATGCACTGTGGAGTAATTATATCTAACAAACATTTTGAAGTTGGCAAATAAGCAAATAAGGAAGAAGAAAAGCACCGGGTAAAAGATTGCATCCTGTTCAACTAGGAAATAAGGTAATTTTGTACCAGGGATTAGTAGGGTGGTGCTCTTGAGCATTGTGGTATCAAAGATGTCACTAGACAGCACTGATTGACCTCCACCATTTTTTCCAAATCTCATGAGACAGAAAATATCTCTCTGTTGACATTTAATGTTTCATGAGATTCTCATCATTTACTGGCACCTATAACATTGCACAATACTGGCTACTGCCTGAAAAAACTGTGTGGCATAACTTTAGACTAATTTTATATAACTGAAAAGACCATTTTCAATTTACTCTGCCTCCACATTATATGTGATGTGTATATGCAAACAGGCCAGTGGCTTTCTTATTTTAACTCAGTGGGTGGAATTAATTGTAATGTTCTTGGTTCTGCTATCTCATGGTTTCTGCTACCCCCAATCCTTGACCTATTTTGCCTCTTAGACTGCACAGATCCACCTATGTTCCATGGAAGCATCTTTCTGGACCTCTTTATCCTTCTGAAGCATCATTATACCAGTATCTTTTTCACACAGATTGCACTAGATCAGGGATTTTCAACCGTTTCACCCATTGTACCACTTTTAGGATATGGCAACATCCGAGTACCACCAGTCGCCTAGCAAGGTGTCAAAAACTTGATGACAAAAAAAAAGGAAAAAAGTGATAAAGTACAGGTAGTCCTTGGCTTATAACAGTTCGCTTAGTGACTGTTCGAAGTTACAATGGCACTGAAAAAAGTGCCCCCCAAGCCACAGCCGAGCAAGACACCTGCCTGCCCACCCGGCGGCGCTCTTCCTCCTGTCCAAGGTTTTCATTGTTGAGGATTGGCAACAGGGGTGGGGTGGGGGGGTGTTTGGTTTTTATTCCCCCCGTCTGCTGGGTGGTTGCAGCAGGTTTTGGTCACTTCACATGACCCTGGGACACTGTGACCGTCATAAATATGAATCAGTTGCCAAGCATCTGAATATAAATTACAAGACCCTGGAGATGCTGCAACATTCCAGCTGATCGGCACTTCTTCTGGGCTCATCAGAAGCGCCAGGATCAGCGCCGAGCTCCAGCTGGAGCCTGCTGCTGATCCTGGCGCTTCCACTGAGCCCTGACATCCCCGAAGAAGCGCTGATCAGCTGGAAATCGGCCCTGATCCTGGCGCTTCCGCTGAGCCCTGACAGCCCTGCAGCTCCAGCCATCTCTCGCTCAGGCTTGTGCGGTGCTGCCACCGGTTCAGCTCATTCCCCTCCCCCACTACCACTTTTCTAGGATGGTCGCGTACCACCTGCCAGGTCATTGTACCACAGGTGGTACCCATACCACTGGTTGAAAAGCCCTGCACTAGATCACATTTCATCGTAATAGTCTCCCAATCCTAATTATAAACATTCAGGCAGACCTGAATAGCATTTGAACTGCAGAAAAAAAAAGTCATTGGATTATGGCTGGAGTATATGACCCATGTACATGGTGCATTTTTAATAGTCTGGTAAATGTGTAGCTGTATTAAAATAAAGTTGTGCAATTATTCTTAGCTGTAAGAGGTGTGTATTGGGTACATAGAAAGTTAGCCCTGTTCCTATCAAAAAGCTTATTAATCATTCTTTTCAAACAAGAAGAAATAGAGGCCGAATTTTTTCCCCCTACAAATATCTTCACCTTGCCCCTGATGAAAAATGAAAGTTGGGAAAATATTGCAGAACTAGTTATACAGCTTTTAAGACACTCCTTTACTAGACTTGGTAACTCTATAGAAAATGCAGCGAGTCTATTAATGCAACAAGAGAAAAGACTGGCCCCTTACCTTCTCTCCATCAGTTTCTGCTAGTAGCAGGTATGTTTTGTGCTCTGAGCCAAATAATGTATTTCCTCCCAATTACTATCCTGAGGATTCAAAACTACAAACAATATTTTTCTCACCATCCTTTCCCTGTCCATGTTTTCAAATTTTGTGATTCCCATTCAGCTAGTGAGTTAAAGAATTCATAGGCATTTCATAGTAATACTCTATGTGTGCATATAGAGAAATAAATTCAATTTTGGATTTGTTTTGAAGACACAGAAAGGAAAAACATGGAAATGTATATGTGGATAATTTTTTAAATCTTTTCCTCTTAGAATCATTTAATGGAACTAGAAGGCAGAATGCGCAGGGCAGCTGCAGAAAGAGGTGCTGTAGAAATGAAAAAGAATGAATTTCAAGAAGAACTAACAAAACAGAGGGAACAGATTGACAAAATCCAGTCTATGCATGATTTCCAGATAGAAAATATCAACAAAATACACAGAGATGAAAAGGTAGAAGTTTTTTTCTTTTCATTTTTGGGACTTTATATAAATGTTCAATTAGTATTGTCTGTTCCTGCATAAAGGAAAGGGCTTTGTTGATAAAAATTAACATAACAGTTTCTTGGGATAACTTCTGAAAAAATTGTGAAAATAGTGTGGGAATTCAGAATTCTAACATAAAATCTGTTTTTTGTGTTGCAGAGAATGTGAGTCTGATAGCCATGTTGAATTTACCAACCAATTAGATTAACAGTTTCAACAATAACAACTTGTTTAACTACAGTATTTGCCCTCTTCCTCTTTGTTAATTAAATTTATAAGCACTAATCCATTGCAAACACAGGAAAACTGGAATACTCTAAAAAGCAGTAATTCACCATTCTTATAATCATTTCCACTCCAGTAAAACTCCCAACAGTTCATAGAATTTACATCAAAACAATGAAACTAATAGTTGATGAAAGGAATTGCGAAGGGATAGAGCCATTACCAAAGAGCATTAATTCATATAGGAAAATGCATAGCATCCTCAAACTCTGAATGTATTGCCTGGGAAATTGGTTCTATCAGAAGGAAATGATCCTGAATGAATCCTGGCATTAAGCTGTGAAGGATTTTATAGATAGTAATCAGCACTTCGAATTGTACATGGAAGCCTATCAGAAACCAGCGCAGTGCGACAAAACTGGTGTTGAATGGTTAGGAATTGCTGTATTTTGCATCAGTTGCTGCTTCCAGGTAGCCTTCAAGGGCAACTTTGTGCAAAATGCCCTATGCAAAATTCTAGTAGTCAATCATAATTGGGACAGAACATGAATTATAGAGCTTTTACTTGAGGAAGGTCTACAACTGGTGGCCCAGCCAACGTTTGTGCAGAGTCTCCCTAGCCATGATCTTTACCCGCAGAGCATTCTTTTCATTTCCTTGAAATCAACAAAACATTGCTGCTGCTTTTATCATAATGTTAATCAAACTAACCTTAAATACAGAGTATATCAGATAGGCATAACTTAGTTTCTTTCAGAAATCAGGTGGCTTTGAATTATAGCTATTGGCAAATCTGCCTTGTCTTTAACATAGGCTGGAATGCTTATGTAATTTTCAGTTTTCAGATAGTGTTTATTCATTTTTCACAAGTCTCTCTCCCTGTATAGATGAAGCCATGCTCTGTATTTTTAAAATAAAAATATAAAATTATCAACATGCTGTTTCTGTATCTGAAGTCCTCTTCTGAATTTGCCTAGAAATCCAATACAGCCCACAATTAATGCTAACCGTGACATAATCCCCTTACAAACACACGTGTGTTACTTGAAGAAAGTTTATCCATTCCTAAACAATTCCTAAACATTCCTAGACAATTTTACACAGATTTTACTCAGAACATTTCCAGGAAACAGTTCTGTACCATCTGCTTGCCAGCTAGGCCAAGAATTGCAGACAGCTATTGACAGGTTTGCTTTATATGATAACTAAACACTAGCTGTATGTCTTTTCTTTTTTTACATGAACAAAGATTTATTAAAAATTAGGGAATATTAAAAAGCAGATAATGCAATACATATTTTGAATTTGATTATTTTTCTCCCCTTGCCTGAGTTAAATTTGTTCAGGTCTAATAATGTTGAGTTTGTGTCACATCTTATTTCTGATATAATCTTCAGAGCTGGCAATTCTAAGTGAATAATGTAGATAATGTGTAAATGAATAATGTAATTAGAAAACGATTCAAGATATTTTACAATGTGGAAGAATAAAATACTGGTGGTGGAATTAATTTTAATTAGTTGTTATTTGAGGTGAATTGAGAATTAAATGATGAGAAAATACAGTTTTGATTTTCTTCAAAATCAAATCAAGATTTTGGTAATATTCCAATATAGACTTCTGAAGTACATATCTTTGTTCTTTTTAATCTATTTCAGTTGCAAAAAGAAACAAATGCCACTTTCCAAGGATTAGTTAGCATTTATATAATAATAGGAGAATATAGAAAGTAAATGTTGAAGGCTTGAGATAAAATCTAGACTTAAATACAGGCAGAGGAAACTATTTCAAAATAGTTCTGTTAAATTAATTATGTGATTTGTCACACTGACTCATTTACTCGAAATATAATTTAAGGCTCGATCTAATATTTTTCAACCATGAAACTTCCCCTTTTTCTTTATTGTAGGAAACATTATTAAATAACATCACAATAAATGATCAACTGATCCAGAATCTTCAAGGTAAATCTTAGTAAAGTATCATCATTGCAACTTTTTTTCTGTATTTACTGATACATTTTTTTCATTTTGTAACAATAAAAAAGACACCAGAGAATATAGGTTCAGAATGTTAACCTGATATATAATTTGTCTGAAATTATTTGTCTGAAATTGTATAGGGTTTCCTGCCTGAGCAGGGGGTTGGACTAGAAGACCTCCAAGGTCCCTTCCAACATTATTATTATTATTATTATTATTATTATTATTATTATTATTGTTGTTGTTGTTGTTGTTGTTGTTGTTGTTGTTGTTGTTGTTATCGCACAGTAAGCCAGATGTTCAGACTAGATTTGGCATTTTTGTCTACCTATCGAGTCCTTACCAAGGACCTGAGATAGGCAGATGTGGATGTTTGATGGTATTATAGATATCGTCGCAGGATGGAAGCAATTCTTAGTAAGGCTGCCTTTTGCAATTGACTAATGGCGAATTTGTCAATGCCAATGGTGTTCAAATGGTGCTCCAGTTGTTTTGGGATTGCACCCAAGGCGCCTATTACTATTGGTACTACCCTTGCTTGCCTTTGCCACAGTCATTCTATTTCTATTTGTAGGTCTTTGTATTTTGTTACCTTCTCCAGTTATTGTTGCTGATATTATTATTATAATTGGCTGAAGAAAGGAACTTGAAATACAATGCTTGAAGAAAAAATTTCAAGGCTACTCTTGAAGGACCATATATTTCTTTGTTTATTACTTAAAATACAAAGAATTTGTGATATATTGATATGATTCCAAATAGATATCAGCAGGGGATACAAGGAAGCAAGTAATGTCTCATGCATTCTGACCTCATGCAAATATCATTATATAACATAGTTCATGCACATTGTATAATTCATGTCATTTACATGTGTCTTGTCACCATGGCTTCCTGAGAAAGCATGTGGAGCAGTGTATAGTTAAACATTTGTGTCCAGAAAACTAAAATATCAACCTACTAAACAATACTGATTCAAGCACTTAAGTCATAAATGTTACAATATTAGAAGCTTAAATGATAAACAAAAACTGGAAGTAATTGGAAATACTGAGTCTTTACTGGTTTTCAGGATAGAAGCAGACAATATTATATATTTAAAGGCGTCTGCAGAAGTGTGAGTAATGCTGGGGATATATTTTTCATATTTTTTAAAATGCATATGAAGGATTCTGTTCCAATATCCATTTTTCTTGTGTAAAAAGAAAAAAAAGAAGGAAGGAGGGAGATAAAAACTAATTCAGGAGAAAGCTGGAAGATAATCATGCAATTGTACTTTTAAGACTGCAGTCTGAAACATATGGAAATAAAGTGGACCTTTCTTTTAGATAAATAGGATTATTCAGCATAGGTCTGGTAGCCTGAGCAAAATAGGCTTTATTTAATCTAATTATTATGGACAAGTCTCTTAGTGAGAAAAAAAATCTTTGCTCTTTCATGCCTTTTTATGTTTTTTTTCTCTTTTTTTAAAAATAAAAATGTTGCTGCAGAGAATTTGAAAAAATTGCAGAGCAAATGTGAAAAGCTTCAATTAGATGTCAACAGCTTTCAGAATAATCAGACTAACCTGCAGAGAAAATATTCATTTGACATGTAAGTTTGCATTAATCAGTTGTTTTTATATTCAAAATGAGTACAAATCAAATTTTCATTAAGCCTGAATATGAATAATATGCATATATGGAAGCAAGTCCTACTGAAGTCATGGAGTTTCAGAAGGAAGCTATACTTGCACTATGGATCACTACATCTAAATGTGTTACTTAACTGATTCGTGAATTCTGGTATTTGAAGTAATATATTTTATGTGGCTATGAATCAAACATGCAAGAAATATGCATGATTTGCAGTTAAAATGAAAGTCAATTTGGTTGATCTTAGCTATATTCGTACCATTAGAAAGGTGAGTGCAAAAGAAGGAAGAGAGAAGTCAAAGAGGGGTTGGAAAAAAAATCCCTTTCTCATGTAAAGTAGGCTTCATGTGTTCCGCAGCTATCTAAATTAGCCGAAAGGGGGCTCAGTAAATCTTTGGTTTCTGATCTTTCCAAGGCTGCAAGAATAGGATAATAATCTGTGGATAAGCCACAGATCAACATATATAGAGTTCAAGATGTCTACTTTATTGTATTCTGCCTATTATATAGGAATCTCCTCAGACTGCCAGCCTTTGGGAACAGTTAAATAAGGCTTTATGGAGCTTGGGATGGGGAGAGTTGTCTGTCCTGGATCTTCTGCGGGGCCTCCTCCCTGCCTGCCTGGGTGTTTCCCAACATTGACAAGAAGCCTTTAAACTACAATAAATGATTGGCAGGCTATGTCCAGATTATTTTTTTATGATGTTTACCTTCCTTTAATGAATTCAAGGCAGTACTGTATGCACTGTTCCCTCCCACTCTTCCACTTTCAATTTTATTGTCACAACAAAACTAATGTAAATAGCACTGAATCGCAGAAGATAGTGATTGGCCAAAAGTCACTCAATAAGCTTCTTGGCTGGGTAGTAATTTGAACTGAGTCTCCCCATTTCCTACCAAAGAGTAACCATAACATGTTGGTTAGTGGATTATAGATTATGTATATTGTTTGTTCTATATTTTGTTCTTTGCTTCAAGGTCAAAGTGTCTTATTAAGATGGAGGAACTGAAGGTACAATGTGAAGAAAAACTAAAAGCATCACCAGAAGATAGCAAGATACAGCAAGAAAAGAAAAAAGATATATCAGGGAAAAACCAAGTATGATTGTAACGCTTTTTATAGATAACTTATAGTTTTATATAAACTGAATACACTCATTTTTCAGAACAATATACTAGAGTTGAACCCAATAAATCCCAACTCCCCGGGCAAGATGGTGTGGCTCTGGGTTTGGAGTTATTTGGTCCATAATAATTGCCATCTTTGTTCGTGGATGGAGTCATACTGTCTCATATAGACCTGGTGTGTAATCTTGGGTTCTCCTAGACTCGTGACTTCTATTCAAGGAAAAGGTGGCAGTTGTGGCCAGGGGAGTCTGTGCAGTTGTATGTTGTAGGTCAGTTATGGCCTTTCAGGGCAAGGTGTGTTACGGGTCCCCTCTCTTATAATCTGACCCTGAAGTACTATCTTGATGTGGTTGTAGGGTTTGCTTGCTTTGAGGAAGAAGAGAGCTATGTCAGAGGTTCAACCAAACTGGAGGGTAAGGTCTCATCAGAGGAGCCAAACAGTATGGTGAGACGTAACTTACAGAAAAGTAAGTTATTGGATCAGTTGTCGCCTAGGTCAGAGGTCCCCAACCTTTTGGGCACCAGGGACCGGTTCTGTGGGCAGAGGTTTTTCCATGGACCGGAGAGTGTGTGGTTTTGTGTGCTGCCTGTATCCCATGGATAGGGCTTTGCTTGTTTGTGCGGCCCGGTTGTTGGCATGCTGTGGCCCAGTACCGATCCATGGACCGGGGGTTGGGGACTCCTGGCCTAGGTCAACAAGGTGACGTGCTAAATATTAGTGTTCTTGGACACCTGATGACAAGTAGCTATAGCACTCAGGACTTTTGGCTGGGCAACTTTCCAGCAGAAGGAAAGTTGTGTGCCCATCACAAATAAAAAAAACCTGAAAACAAAGACTGATTTGAATTACAAATCCAATCCAATGAGAAGAGGATATCTGAAAAGAGAGCACCAATTCTGGAAAGAGCAACATCCAAAATCTGAAACAACCAAGGCTAGTGAATCAATGTTGATTTATAATATAAAATAAAATATTCAGAAAAGTAGAACTAAAAAACCCTGCAAAAGTCTATCCAGGGCAGAGAAATTAAAGCCTTGTCAGATGAGAGTGAAAAATTAAATTCCAAATTCAGTGGTGGAAGTACTACCAAGACAATTAATACATTATTAGAGAAACAACTGGAATGATAGGCTGGACTCTAAAAGCTGGATAAGAAGACCAAAAAACCAGTGGCAGTGAATGATACTGTACAATTAAAACAAAACAATCAAGTACCAATTTAAAATTACATAGAAGCAGCTATGTTGGAGAGAAAAGGATGCGTACTTCATCCACGTTGGTTGTGATGGTGCTACTCGGCTTGTGGCACTGCTCAGCTTGTGATTGGTTGTGTGGTCGTGCGCTGAGTGCTTACTGTGGACGGTGACCGTTGTTTTGTTACACAACTGATGTATGTGGGTGTGTGTACAGTGATTGACTACGTGCGAAAAGTAAATAATTTTTTTTATTTTAAAAAATCGTTGATGAATTGAAAATCTTTTTTTAATTTTTAGTGTAAAAGTGTGACCCCAAATTTAAAAATGAAAAAAATTACTAATTACTTCTCAACCACCAGTCCTGCTAAGAACTGAATATATATATATTTTAATAAAAGATTAACAAGATGTGAGTTCTGGCACCTTTTTTCTTACAAAAAAAGCACTGTGTGTTCTAGACATGCTGTTCTAGAACGTCATTATAGAAAAATAATTTTAAACATTAAGGGATTTCTACATGCATACTTCCAGCATTTATATACTTTCCACCACTTGAAATTTCCTCTTAGTTTTTATCATATTGATCTCCCTTTTTTCTTATTATGGTCCCCTAAGAATTCTGCATATGTACAGTTTGGACTTAGAAATGTAGTTTAGTGATGAGGTATGCTCTTAAATATATTCTGAATATATTCACACAACTGGGCAGGTAATTGAACTACGTACTAACCCAGCACTATATTCTGCTAGAGAATTCTACATCCGCTTTCCTACCCTTATGTCCTTCAGCTGTATTAAACTATACCTCCCAGGAAGGGTAATCAGAAAGAATTATAGTTCCAAAATTCTACAGGATAAAATTTGGGGACAGATTACTTTGCAATGTTTTTCAATACAAAACAAAACAGAGCAGAAAAATGTTGTATTTATTTTCTCTTTTCAAAAAGGCCAATATACAGATGCAGACTTTTGGACAGGCAGAGATTGATCATCATGATCTGACAAACCAGGAAAATGAACTTCAAGAAAAAAATATATCTGAGTCTGTGAAATTAGTTTCAAGACCAATGTCTGTACTAAACAAAGAAGAATTGAATCATCTTAGAGAAAAAGGTAAAAATATAGCAGTTAACAATGATATCATTTTGATTTTGTCATTAGGATTTCATGTGAATGTGAAGCTGAGGTCTGAGTCCTATGATCTATTTTGCTTCAATAATGGTGAATCATTGTCACATCATAACTGCTTAAATCAGTAAATAGCTCATAAATTTTGTTTTACGGCCATGGCCTTTTTCAATTCATGCAGTTGAATAAGTCATTTAGATATTTAAGTGAATGTGAATATGAATGCCATATCCAGGACACTTTGAAACATTTCCAATCTGTAGAATTTATTTCTGGAACATGCCAAACAGCTGTCAGAAGAGTATGAGCTGGAGCATATTATAGAGCTCTCTTGTTCCACTTGGTTGCTGAATTTTGCATATTGCTCACATGTGTATATATGCACTACTAGAGGTCATACCTCAAAGAAGGGTGAACCTAAGAAGACTGCTTCCCTTTCAATTCACAGTCAAAGTAGTTCAGGAAAACCCCCCTCATAATCTTTTGGACAAATGGCAACTTTCAGATATAAAGCTTCTTCCAGATAAGATTCCCCAATAGAGTTCTACACCTTAATTTCCCCACTTCTACTCCTGGTTTGAACCTTTTTAGGAGCGTCGTATGGGACATGATTTGGGAGAGGGAGAATTTTCAAAATCTTGAAATAATCAACCAAGTAGAAAACAATATCCTGATCAAGGAATTACCAAGGAGAAAATTTCACACCCCCCCAACACTGGCAGGGTGAAGTACTGTACAAGTGGTCTTTGACTTACAACTGGTCACTCAGTGACCATTTGAAGTTACAAAGGACCTCCCAAAAGGTACTTATGACCCAGTCCTGGAAGTTACACTCACTGTAATATTCTGTGGTTGTTCACTGTTATGATCAACTGCAGAGACATTGCAGTGTGCCCCTTTGCCTATTCCCCCCCCCCCCCACCTTTCTGCTCCTCCAGGTCGGTCCCTCCAGGCACTGGACCTGTTTTGCCACTCCACCAATTCCACATACTTCTCCCCATCCTGTCACCAATTGCTCACCTTTCAAAGATCTCCAGAGGTCGGGAGGTCGGGCAGGGAAGGAGGATAGGCTGCTCTGTTGCTAGGCCACGTGGCACAATCCCACAGTGGCCTTTTTTTCTGAGCAAAAAATAATGCAGACGAACTCTCAGTTTTCCTTTCCTTATTAAAGCTAGCCTTAGGTCTCCAAGGCTAACACTGGTAGAGGTATGGCTAGCGATACAGAGAAAAAGAATTCCTTGTGGTTTTCTTTAGTGCCACCAAGCCAATGATGAACCCCCAGGGTCTCCCCCACCCAAGGCCAGCCCATGCTCCACTTAATGACCTATGTGTTCGGTTAACAAATGCATTGGGTGGGGAGCAGGAATGGAGTAGTCATTAAATGAAGTGATTCACTTAGTGGCCCTCCCAAATTCTAACCGTAATGGACAGGCTCCATTTTGGTTGTAACCCAAGGACTGTATATATAAATGAGCAAACCCCCACAGACCCTAGCATTGATAGTGTTATCCAGTCAGGCAATGAAATGTCTGCAAGCAAACATTCAATCTCAGAGGACACCAAGGACTCCCCAGTTCAACCCTGAGCAACATACATCTTTTATATTGGAAGCTTATATAGAAACTTATAGTGATCTCCAAAATTGGAGCTGCAAGTTGAATATTTTGCCTCATTAGCTCTTTTTTTTTTTAAGTTTAAAGCTCCCAAGAACTGGAAGAATTTTAGATTTTCTTGCTCTGAACATCCCATTCTGTGATTCAAAGATAGGGAAAAAAGTTCATATTAAATTTTGAATTATTTAAATCAGCTCTAAAAATGATTCTTCTGTTTATGTAAGGAACTAGTGACGTTTCTAATGAAGAGTCCAGGAAAGAGGAGGTTTTTCTCAATCAAGGCCATCCACAAGTACCTTCTATTTCTAGCAGAGATCATAAAGCACTTCCTCCTGAACCAGAACCAGAACTGAGTCACCATGAGCAAATTAGAAATGCACTTGGAGAAGCTTCAGTAGAAAAGCAGACTAGCAAATTCTCAGAACTTATAGGCCACCAAAATGTCAAAAAAGCAAACGAAGTTGAAGAAATTGAACGAGAGGATCTCTTAAATGATGACTTGCAGCAGGATGACCAGGAAACTAATAAAAATGGTTAGTATATAGATTGCTTTCTTTGTTTGTATCAGGGTTGCAGTATTTGAGAAAGTGGAATAATTGATTTAATGTTTATAGAATTGTATGTTGTTATACCTGGCACTGAATGTAAATTGTGTAATTTGATTTGTTAACATGATCTGAAGTAAAACCAGACCACGTGGTTTCATTCTGCTTGATCAAACTGTTTGTATGTTTGATTCTGGCTTAAGTGTGATGGAAATCCATCTATTATAATCATTTGGCAAGCCATAGTTAAGCATAATATGGAAATCCAAACATGATTTATGATTTCATGATACATATGATTAATTACATTATTAGCAATTTTCTTAATATGTATTATTGTCCAGTAAAAAATTTATTTGCAATAAAATCAGAAGACAGCTTTTCTACTTGCATGAAGTTGCATGCATGAATTTATTGTTTGGCTTGTTTTCACAGGTGAACTTGAAATCAAAAGAATGGGCCAGGATAACAAAGAGGCTGATTACAACTTAGATACAAATGAGGCAGAATCTGAAACAGATAAACAGGCTGCTCTTGTTAACCAGCAAAATAGCTTCCATGGTAATTTTTTGTAATTTCCATGTTCTGACATAACAAAGTTTGCATTATAATTTGTCTCACTTTTAATTAATGAACTTGCAAATCGTGTCTGGAAGAAAGGCTTTACAAAGTTTTCCACAATGTGGAAAGTGAATGATGATCCCCAGATAAGAGTAATATGAGTAAAAAAGAGATAACGACTTAATTATTCCAGTTTTAATTATTTTTTCTTCTTTTTTAGTTCAAAATCTTGAAGATCCCAAAATGGAAAATCACTTATTTAAGCTCAAGGAAGCTCAACAGCAGAAATTGTGAATAGCAATTTTAGTTTTTGACAGTTGCAAAATTATTTAGGCAAGTCCACTCAAACCTTTTACAAAAATCAGGGGATTTAAACCAGGTCTGATTCCTCTCCATTCAGGAAGATTATCTGCAGACTTAATAGGCTTGTTTTACATCTATCAACTAGACTATTCCAGTGTTGCAGGGTGGAAATAAGCCCCTGAAAATATATGAAATCAACCTGTTACTCAGCTACCAGGTATAGTTTCCTTTTTGAATCATAAGAGTACCACCTTAGATACAAATTGTCTTGCTCTAAAAATTGAGAATATTGCATAGACAGTAGCTTGAGAGATACTGTTTGTCCTGCTTCTGTTCATATCTCTTCCAACATTATTCTCAGTTTATAAACCAAATTTAGAAAGTTAGATTTTATACTTTTTTTTTTACAGAAGCTTCCTTCAGAAAGAAAATATCCTAAAGAACTTATTAAACTCCTTTAAGTGCTTTGCTTTGAGGGCCTATCTAGTACAGTGGGATATGGTTTCAAGTAAATGTGCATAAAAGTGAGTTACATATTCTACATATTTTTTATTTGAACACTTTTCTTTTTTGAATTGTAGGAATGATTTAAGTATTAACTAAATGCAGGGGATTCCCTGCATTTATGTAAAACAGGCCTTACACATTCCGGAATTCTAATATATTAGAATGTTGCTTAAATTATACTTGAGTATATGGAAAAAAAATGAACCCTAAATGTTTTGCTGCTTCATATCTTATTTTGGTGTAAAGAACTGCAATATCATTTAGGACATGATGCCAATCTGCTGTCAACACTGATTATAGCACTTTAGCCCTGCTGAAGATAACTAGAATAGAATAAGTGCAATACAATTATTTTGTACAACAAAGGGATGATTTACAAATTACTATAGTATTTTGTTTATTTGCAAATATTGGATTTATTTTGATTTAAGTTCTTGATTATAAAATAAGTGGGCTCTCAAGAGTCTTATTAACTTGGTTGTTAGGTCACTATCAATAAAATATTGCACTCATTGGGAACAGTGTCCTGTAATGTGTGTTTTGTTTAAACACTATAATTAGTCTTTAATTATAGTTGTTAAATCTGTGAAAAATGTTAATTTTCATTGGCATAAACATACGGTACTTGTTATAGATCTACTTGCATATGTTAAGATGAGCTCTATAAAGGTAACGATTGGTATCAATAAACAAGAATATTTGTAGCTCAGGGTAGAAATAAGTGGTCCTTGGTGCTCTCTGAGCTTGGTTATTTTCTTGCAGATGTTTCATTACCCAAACTAGGTAACATCATCACTGCTAGGTAATCCTTGGGTTATGACCTTCATTCAACGACCAAAGTTTTCATGGGTTTGCAATCTGATTGCAATTTGGGCCTTTGGCAACTGATTTACAGTTATGATGGCTGCTGCACACCATTTGTGAGTTTCCCTGCCAGCTTTCCACAAGTAAAATCAATGAGAAAGCTGGTAGGAGGTCCCAAGTTGCTCCCACTGCTTTTTCACCTGCCAGCATCCATTTGTGGCATCTGTTGTCCTTGGCATCCATCCACCCACCTGTAGGTCATGCCCACCAGCTTGCCCATGTCATGTCCATGTGAGGTCCTTGTTTAATGGCCTGCATAGTCCTGGAGTTACAATGGCAACTGAACTGGGGTTGCTAAGTGATGTGGTTATGTGATGTTGCGCTTTATAACCACATTGCTTGGTGATGGCAATTCCAGCCTTAATTATTGTTGTCACCTGAAGATTACCTGCAATTCAAATGTGTGAAATCCTCCACCCCCCAATGCATTTGCTTCAAGTTAGATATACTGCAATTAACTGACTCATTAAAAGGTAATCCTGAGGCAGAGTTTGTTTTATAAGGAAATTGATGTTTGTGTTATAGCAGGGGGAAAAAGTCTATGCATCCCTGTTAAAATGCCAGGTTTTTGAGATGTAAAAAAAATCTGAGCAAGAAAAATTACTTCAGAATTTTTTTTCATCTTTAATATATAAGCTGTACAATTCAATTGAAAAACAAACGAATCTTTTGGGGGAAAATAATAATAAAAAACCCTAATAACTTAGTTGTGTAAGTGTGCACACCCTGAAATGAAACACCATTTGATTTTATGACAACATTCAGTCTGTTGGAGTAGAAGCCTATCACATGACACATCTTATCTTGAGAATCTTTGCCCACTCTTCCTTGCAAAAGCACTCTAAATCGGTCAGATTGTCAGGGCATATCCTGTGCACAGCCCTCTTCATGTCACCCTGCAGATTATCAATTGGATTCAGATTCGGGCTTTGGCTGGGACATTTCAAAATTTTGATCTTCTTCTGATCAAGCCATTATTTTGTTGATTTGGAGGTATGCTTTGTGTCCTATTGAAAGATGAAATTCCTCTTCATTTTCAGCATTTTAGTAGCCTAAAGGTTTTGTGCCAAAAATGACTCATATTTGGAACTGTTCATAATCACCTCCATCTTGATTATGGCCCTAGTTCAAGCAGCCCCCAAACATAATGCTGCCACCACGCTTCACTTTGAATATGGTGTACTTTTGATGATGCATAGTGTGCCAAACATACATTTTGGAATTAAAGCCAAAAAATTCAACTTTGGTCTCATCAGACCATAACACATTTCTCACATGCTTTGGCGAGACCTGATGTAGCTTTTTGCAAAATGTAATCAGGCTTGGTATGTGTGTCTGTACGTTTTTTGTAGGAAAAGGCTTCTATCTTCCCATTCTACCACACAGCCTAGACCTCTGAAGAATATAGGAGACTGTTGTCACATGTTATACAAAATTTCTTTACAAATGAATTCCAATGTATATCAAAACAAAACAATTTCTTTTATTGCATTGTATTTTCAGAGTGGTCAAGCATGTTATGAAATGTTCCAACACCATTCATAAAAATGATTTATAGATAAATCTACAAAAAAATAAAAACATAACAGTTTCAACAATGCAGTTATCAAATCAGCTCCAGCAGAAGAACTTTACACAAACCATTTTAAAACATCAGTTATTCCAGCTGTTTAGGAGGATTGAATGAAATTGTTCCTGATATGAGTACTTTTGACCAAGAAGGTTCTGTCCTTTTTCAGCACAGCACAAAGGAGATTCTTCGAGCAAATTATAATTTACCTGTTCTCCTAAACAAGTTTCACTATTGGGAAGTATCTATGAGGAGAAAAATCAAATTCCGGAGGAACCTGGAAAAATAAATATATATATATATTAGTATCAATTTAAAATAGCTTTTCAAGAATTTTGTGATTCCGAGTGGATTTTTAAAATATCAAGTATACCAGAAAAATTCCAAAGGGGTGGGAGAGAGGGAAAGATGGACATATTATGAAATTTAAAGAACTAAATTCATTGAAGCTCCTTCTGAGTAAACATATACTTTTCAGTTATTGTTTGTAACTGTAGAAATATGTTAGATCATCACATGTAACCGAGTACCTCAAACATGAACTGCAGCTCTGATACCGTTGTGATGTATACTTTAGTATTACACAGTACAACTCATGCAAGAGGGCATCCCCGTTTTGTCCACACTATACATCTCAAATTTGTTCATAGGCAGGCCCCAAACCTCCCTTACAGATATTTCAGATTTCTGCTGGATACAGTTCAATATGACTGCCCCCATTTGGCAGACTTCAGTTTGTTCCCATGGCAACTGCTTTAATTTAACTGCAATTTGCTTACTTTAGAATCCTTTTTGTGACCTCCTGCCAGTAATTTCATAACCACAATATTGGGCTTGGCAACTTTGAGAATTCGATTGACCTAGACAGAGATAGTCAAGTTTCATATTTAAAAGTTAAAATAGTTAAAAGTTAAAAAGCTCATAGTTAAAAGGCCAGTTGCAGTGAAGACTTAATAATATTGCTTGCAGTTTTTATATTTATTTTTCCATAATGGCTTATTTATTAACTTAGTTGTATACTAACAAATGCACTTTACAAAGATATTGTTCTAACATATAAGTAATAAGCACAATGATGTGCTTTTCAAATATTGACAATATTCCAAGGTACATTGAAACATTCTGGGTAAGCATGCAAAATGCTGCTAGGTTGTTATCAACATCTTTTAAAGAATAGACTTCTTTCCATATTTAGAGATGATGAAATTCTCTGGTTCTTTACAAAGTTACAAAAGAGGACGCAGAGCATATTTCTGATTAATTAACAGGAAAGAACTCGTAGGTAAAGCAATAAATAATGTAAGAACTAGAATTTCAATTCTGGGAAGCAGTTCAATTTATAATTATTTCCCTGGCCATATATCTCTTTTTATTTATCATGATTGATTTCAAATTATATCACATTGTTAATACTGTTCAACTGATTTTTCTTGTTAATTAGTTTATAATAAATTGCCACTATAAAATTTCTAAAGAGACCCAGTGCTGAATTGTAACATCAGCAACATTATTCTATAAACTGCTAGAGTTAATATTAAATAGTCTTTATAAACTTAATTGTTGTAAAACCTTTATTTGTGACTTAGATAAAAACAACCATTTTTCATAGTTAAAAAAGGTCACTTCAATCAGTAAGCACTTCATTTGTTACCCAAAATTAATATAAAAAAATAAGGTTCTATTATAAAATATTAAGCAATTAAGACTTCAAAAATCTTCAGATATTTAACAACAATAGTTCATTTGACACTTGAGAGTTTATGCTTGCAGAGTTATGTAGACAATCTGCATTTACCCTCCTTCAGTAGTGTTTGAATACCATAAGCAAGTTTGAATTTATTCTCTCTGTTCTATAGTCAGATTTTTACCTCATGATCTGGGTTAGAGATATTCTCCAGTATCATTTTAGCTTGCTGGAAGTGTTTGCTAGCAGCCATGTAGAGATCAGAAGACTGAGGTGGAGGAGTGTATTTGTTTAGATCAGACATTTCCTAAACATAATAAATATCCTTTAAAATTGAAGCAATAAAATATCCTTATGCAATTTATTTAAAATTAAGTTGTGGTTTGGTGAAAAGAGCACACAGAAGGAAAACTATTTTAATCATTAGTTCAGATATAACTTTATAATCAAGTAGGTAATGATTTCTTCACTTCTGGTACTGTAAAAACTAACAAATGATCACATTTTTCAACACCAGTAACACAGCATGTGAAATGCTATTTCATATTTTAAAGACAGGTTTGGGATGTGACTTGATGCCAACTACTGCTTCTTGCCTTCATTCCAAGGCAAAGAAATATATACCACCAAGAACAATTGCTTGCGAAGATGAAAATACTAATAAGATTTGTGACAAATTGTATTGGTTTTTTTTTAAATTAAAGTATGCAAATAACATGGATTAATGTGATTCACCTTGAATTGCAAATAGTGCACAGGTGGTGGTGTGATGACACTGTTGAATGGGGCAAACCGATGTTCATATCGAACTTGTTCACTATCAAGTTCAAATTTTGGCTTCCTCACTTTGCCATCCATGTCAAAAGCAATCATAGTCTTCAGGAAAATACAAGGTAAAAACAGTTTATTACAACAGCAGCAATAGAAATGTTAATATACGTACTTGTTAGAAATAATTGGATAAATGGTTTGTATTGCTGATTATAACTGCATATGATTCTTGACAGTCCACCTTAGCAATTATCTCATGAAATATAATCCATAACTGTATCACTGGAATTAAATGCAACTAGCTCTTTTAACAACAATTCATACTATTATCACATGACTATATTACTGAAATGTACTCATAAACTATGGATGGTTCAAAATGTGGTAGCTCAGTTGCTAATGATTACAAGGAAGTTAGCAATTTAACACTAATACATTGCTTGTTGGATTGGTTACCAAAAATTGTCAGGTCTAATTCAAAGTGTTTATGCTAAAGGCCTAGATCACGGATGTCCAACACTGGCAACATTAAAACTAGTTGACTTCAACTCTCAGAATTCCCCAACCAGTTTGGGTATACAATGTAAAAAAAACCTTATTGAATTACATAATGGGTAGTAATACATCACC